TTCTATATATATATATATATATATATATATATCGGAGTTTTATATGATCATCACATACCAATAAAGCTGAAGGGAAAGTTCAATAAGACAACTATGAGACCAGATTTGCCTAACGAGGCAGAATGTTCGGCAGTCGAAAAACAACATATCCATAGAATGAGTGTAGCTGAGATGAGGATGTTGAGATGGATGAGTGACAAAACAAGGAGGAATAGAATTCAAGATGAATACAATCCGTAGAACTTAGGTGTAACTCCAATAAGCGATAAGAAGAGAGAAAGTAGACTTAGGTGGGCTGGCCATGTACAGCGCAGACCTAGTACGGCACTTTTTAGGAGGTGTGAGTTGTTGATTTAAGTAGAAAGCTCAAAAAGGGTAAGGGGAAAGCCCAAAAAGTATGACCTCATTGAGTGTAGGGCTCTTGATAGAGCAAAATGGCAGACCATGATTTGTGTAGCCAACCACAGCTACTAGGGAAAAGGCTCTGATGATGATGGTGATGATATATATATATATATATATAGAGAGAGAGAGAGAGAGAGATAAACAAATATGTGTGCGTGTGTATATATGTACATACACATATACACAGATACACACACATTCAGAGAGAACCGCGGATTTGATCAAAAGATTAAACTATGAGACCAACGCATCGGGCGACAAGAATTCGTGGCGCTCGGTTCCCAGGCTCAAGTCCTGCAAAAGTCAGGGTAAGGGGATCTTCCTCCCCACTAAGCTATGGAAAAAAAAAACGAGCAATGAGAAAAATGGATCGTCTTCCTCTTCGTCATTGCCATCGTCCGCCCCATCTCTCTTGAAAAGAGATTTACGCCTTATACCCAAAAACCCATCTTCGCACCTCCCAACAGAAGTCACTTCCGCCTCCACCTCAATCCTTCTCTCAATCCTATGCTCTAGTTGCTTCTTCCCCCCCTCATGTTCTACTGAAAAAGAAGCAGCAGGAGTCTTCCACCTCTTCCGCGTCTAATCAGGTTTCCCCCTTTTTACCTTACTATATCACCACAATCCCTGAGGAGATAGATAGACAAGCCAGGAAACTTTTGGCATCCTTGGTCGGGAGTTTTCACCCGAGGGCGAGATGACTCTGTAGGGATCGAAAAGTTGGCCAGAACCCTTTGGGGGAGGAGCCCCATCTCACAAGTAGATGGCTCTCTAATGGAGACTACTTGTTCTCCTTCCCTTCTCAGGAATAGGCTAACCACGCCTTTCTCAAAGAGCCTAATCCGTCCTTCAAAGGAGTTTCCTGCTCTCTATGCCGATGGTCTCCTAAAGAAAGTTCGTACAGGAAGCAGAGGGTATGGCTTACCCTCCATCATATCCCGTTGCACGCTTGGTACCCAGAAACCTCTAAGAGATTAGCGGCATCCTGTGGTAACCTACTCTCCATCCACTGGATCTCGCTAGAGTCCCTACTTTTGGGCTCCATTCGCCTCTTGGTCGAGGTCCTAAACACCACAAAGATTCCGAGCACGCTTTTGCTGGATGTCAATGAACTCTTCTACCCTATTTCGATCTCTTGGTCCTCTGCTTCGCCTCCCTTGCTCGATTTCCTTCACCAACCTATCGGGGATTCTCTTCCGGCTACCTCTTCTCAGCAGTGGGTGGTGGTGACTAAGAAGAAACACAAGCGTTTGAGACCCTCGTCGAAGACCCCCTGAAATGCTGCTTCGACAATCTTGGCACCCCCACAGGCCGA